ATGATGAACACTGTCCAAACGGGCTGGTGAATGAAATTAAGCCTACTTAGACTTAGCCGGAAAATTTACATATTTTAATTGTTTAAGTTAACATATTCTTGAATGTATGTGTACCCTTGGACTATACACATAATTGTATTTATATGTTGCACTTTTGAGATTCTTTATATATATATTTATTTTATATTTCTTTAATTTCTCAATTTGGTCATCTTTTATCTGGAAACCCCATGAATATCGTAGCATGCTATAGTTCGAGATGTTGGGTAAAATACTTAAGGGGTATAAGACAATTTTGAATTTATTAAAACGTTCACCCAATAATTAATCCCGGATTTCACTTTAAAATTAGCATCAAAATTTAATGAAGAAGTCAAATATACGCTTAATATTTATACGTTCTTACGACTTCTATTTTTAAAAACATTTTTCATTTATTCCACCTCTACTTTTCTTTCTTACGTATGTAAAGTTCGTCTGTATATAACATAATGAATATTTTCTAGTGTATATTATACATAGTAATTATTCAGAAATCGTGAGATGCGGTCTGGTGCGATGTAGGTTTCAGAAAAACATTTCCTTTATCGTGCCAACGTTTCAATCTTTATTGAGATCATCTTCAGGGCCTGGGATTTACAAACATTGTTTAAATTTAACAAATATATGTAGGATGTGGAAAAAAGTGAATTTATATAATGCTAGAAATTTTAATGGCTGACATCTGGTAGCCATTACTATTTAACAGTTTTGATACCACTATAAACAAGAACTTTAAAAATTTTGAAAAATGGAGAATCTGACATAACGGATACAGACGACACATTGTCTATCATGTAAAATTAAATAATTCGCCAATACCAGTGGATAAAAATGTTAAATATCTTGGGATGTTTGTGGACACCAGATTTATTTAAAATGAGGAACATGTGGAAAAAAGGAACTGCGTATCTGCCAGTGTACCAGTGACGTGCAATACCCGAAATAATCGATACCACTACTCAAATATTCCATACCACTCAAGTATCACACAAAAATTATTCGATACTAACGAGTACTTACTCATATGAGTACTTTTTCGTTTATTCATAAATGATCGACTTACTATTGCGGACTTCGTTTAAAATATGCTCACGCGTTAAAATAATCAAAAAATAGCAGTTTTTCCATTTTTAAAAATTTTTCATACAGTGGGTACGTAGGTAAGAACAAGGAAAAACGGCCAACACATTTTAACATAATTGATATTTCAATTTTATCGTTATCGAGTTTTGAGAAAATTGATCAACGGGTGTTTTGTTTTCAAATGGTTGAAAAGATCCCGCAGTATTCATCAGAATTTACAAGATGCCAAGGATACGTTTTCTTAGTAAATTAATTATTCAGGAATCGTGAGATGCGGTCTGGTGTGATGTAGGTTTCAGACCAGGTTTTATCACACCAGACCGCATATCACGATTTCTGAATAATTATCGTCTAACGGTCACTAATCACCACACATTTCTTAGTAAAGTAACCTCATACCTTACTTTTGGGAGGAGACATAACGAAAAATCTATTTGAATATATTTTCCGATACTACGAAAAGTACTCGATACAGTACTTGTATCAAATGATAATATTCGATAAAGATAAAATTGCTCGGTATCGAAAGAAAATACTCGATACTTTAATCATATCGATTGGTATCGCACGTCACTAAGTGTACCTGGTTTATTAACAAACTGCTGTGGTAAACAACGTGAAAAGTGTTGTTAAGTCTTTGCCTGTTAGTTGTGTTGTGTCCAGCATGTACTTTACTACCATTTTTGTGTTATTTATTTATTGAAGTCCTGTACCTGCATCTAATAATGCGTTTAATACTTTTATTGTGTTGTGTAACGCCTGTTTTTTTTAAATATATTTTCCTCTAACTATTTTATGTTTAATGTACAATTTAAATAATGCTCTTTATTTTCAATTAATCCATATGTATTTAGCTGTCATAATTGGCCGTATTAATTATTTCAATTAATTATACATTTTACCTTAGATTAAGACCTTAGATTAAAAAGTGTAATTACATATATTTAATGCAGATTAGGTAAAAAAAAGGTCCAATAATGCACTGGAGCCAACTGAATAGAATTTTGTAAACAAATAATTGTAAATCGAAATTTATATGCAATAAAATCATACATCATAAAAATGCATATGAGCCACAATTCTATTTTCAGTGGGAAATTTCGGATGGCTAATTTCGATGAATACAAGCAAGTCTGATAAAATTAACCCTACATAGAAAATGAAGATTGAAAAGAAGATTGAAAAATCATTACCCACACATTCATTCATACGCCCCAGCACTATAAAATTCACCCTTGAAAATGAGATGGGCGGAAAAGTTCAAGTTATTTTTAGACCTGTTGTTGAAAGCGATGCAGAGGGCTTTTAAAAGACAAAATCGTACGAAAAAGCCACTCCCACAGACATGATGATAAATTTATCTTACAATCAAATCTACCATTTAAACTAATTAATAGATCCTTCATTCTCTGCCAAATTAATTTTTAATTACGTAATTTGAAGAAATTCAACTCAACAAATCCCAGCATATAGAATTTTTGTAATTTTATTTTCTATTTTTTTCTTTTGACTGGTTTTACATAATACAATTAATTAAGGTTTTTTGTTGAGATAAAAAAGTCAGTGTCACGAGCAGGATTCAAACCCACGATCTTCGGCTAGATACGCCGCTGCTCTACCACTTGAGCTATCGTGACCTCGATCCACTTAATTCAGCTAGTTATTTATAAATAATATAAATATTATATTATATATATATATAAAGGAGGGAAAATTCAAAAGGTGGGGTTGAGATGGGAAGTAAGTTAGTGTCCGAGTGGATCGAGGTCACGATAGCTCAAGTGGTAGAGCAGCGGCGTATCTAGCCGAAGATCTTGGGTTAGAATCCTGCTCGTGACACTGACTTTTTTTATCTCAACTAAAAACGTTAATTAATTGAAAGATGTTAATTGGTCAAACGTACCACAAAACTAGTGAATTTAATGAATTTTACATAATAAAGTTCAGAATCATATTTAACAAGATTTAATGCCTTTTACGCTTAACAGACATTTTCAATTCAGGTAATTTTTAAATGATATCGATGATATGAAAAAATGGCAGATACCTTAGCAAAGGATCTAGGATCATGTTTCTTGTGCTACTCCCGAATTCATTTATAAATAACTAGCTGAATTAACCGGCGTTGCTCAGGAGATAATAAAAGCTTTAATTTTATACATAATAATCGTAATTTTTTAACGAGGGTTCGTAACACAGAGGTTATATCAACCCTCGGGGTGCCGGTGTTTTTGAAAAAAAGCCCATTTGTAAGTATGTTAATCGTTGTTTTTTTATTTATGATAACTATAACGAAAAATTTTGCTAAAACTTATAGAATTTTATCATAAGTATTACTTTGGAATCAACTACATATATAATTTACATATTAAACGAATAGAGATTAAGGGAAAAATGGTTTAGTCCTATTGTGAAAGAAATGGATCCAATATTGCAGAAATAAGGTCTTCGGTACAAAATTTATAATTTCATGAATCTCTCGCCCTAATGTTGACACGCCTTGATCAGTGTAGATACATATGCGAGATAACATGAATTCTAGCGCAAAATAAATACAAATTGCCGGACTTACTTTTCTTTTGTGCTTTTGAAGTCCATTTGTGCAGGGCCGCTGGATTCGAACCCAGGACCTCTACCTTACAGTGATGAGCGCCGTGTCAACGCCTAAACCGCTGCGGCCTCTGATAATTGTAATTATTGTTGTATTCAACTTTAAGTGCAATGCTCTTGCATATACAACGTTTTTTGGAAATTCCGTTTGGCACATATAGAAACAAATTAGTTTGTTTTCCTACACGGGAGCAGCAGTGTACAACTTTCCATGAGGAAAACTTGGATTGTTCTATTTCAATTCATAAAATTGCTATTATTGACCTTCTGGTTTGTTCATCTTTATTGCATAAGCCGGTTTAACTGGAAAATGCAATCTTGCGGTACCATATGTGTTATTGAAAAATTGCTGCGACGATAACATTGTTTAATAATCTTTTGACAGCCAATCTGGTACCAGTTTGAAGATGGGGTAGGTCAATGTTTCTAAAAAGAATAGATAGGAACACCAATTTTTAGATTAATCATGTGTGGTGGCAACCAAGATAAATCAAATTAATTTACGAATTCGTTCGGATAATTTACTGCTTAACCTTGATCTGTAACAGAATCTATAAATATGTAAGTAGCTATTTCTTCTGGTAACATATGTTGTCTGTTGATATTAATGAAATTTACATGCAAATTTTTTCCATATATTACTGCACGATAACCATAAATGACTTTTCGAATTTGGTTTGATATCTGGAAATATACATTGGACCAATACTTCTTGTGAATGAACAATATTGTAAAACTCTAATTAATTAATAAGTAATTTAATGCAGCCTGTTTTTTTTTTCAATTGTAATTTTCCCATTTACATTATAAAATAATTTTATTGCAAAATGTGCAGAAGGATTGTTTGTAATTTAACACGCATGTTTTTCGTCGATGAAAATTTATTAAAATACCTTCACAAATATGATGCTTTTAAACACGCATTTAGTTCATCAACTGTTGTTGAACATGGAATAACTGGAGTCTGTCGAAAATCATCTGTTAATAATATTAGCGCACCGCCGAAGGAATTTAATAACCCTTTTATATAGTCTATAAACGCTCCTGGCACTAATAACTGTGAAATTTTCAGCTAAACCGGTTCAGTAGCTTTTGTGTCTATAGTCTACTCACATAAGAACATTACCTTTTATATTATAGATGCTTTACTCATTAAGCATATAAAAAATGTTCTACAAAAATTCAACCGTTTTCTTCGGCCTTTAAAAAAGAAAAAGAAGAAAAAGACATGGAATTTCAGCACAAATATTTTGACAATAACTTAGTTTATTTGGCAAAAAAATGTGTATAATGTATGACATTTTTTTCTTTACAAAAATAAAACTTACTGGATTTCTCTTTCTTGGTCAACCATCTTGGAAAGCATTATTTTGTACACTATATTCGGCGCTAATGTATCACCTCTGACAAAATAACCAAGATTTTTTTTATTGTTCATTGTCCCCGAATGTGTAATGCGGGAATTTGTGGGGGCGGACGTTGTATGATCCACGAGCTTCGTTGGCTTCGTAGCTCTGGTATGACGGTTTCTCAGGCTTCGCGGTGGGGGTGCCAGACTTTTTGACCACGGCTTTAAAGCCGTTGACTTTGTCGGCTGTGTAATGGACTTCTCGCAGAGTGCCGTCAGGTTCTTGTAAAGTATAGTAGCCTTTGACGACGCCTCCTTCCATCACTTCGTGATGGGTTTTAAAATCGCCTGTGTGGTGGTCCTCGACGGCGTACTTGTACGCGTATGGTGACGGCTCGGACTGAAACATACATTTGCATTATGTCAAAACCATATGATGCAGAGATAAAAACTGTGGAGAATATGGGAGTAGACAATTTTTATAACCTCTATTTAAAAAATTAAAAAGAGACCTGCAATAGAAAGTCTCTTCATGATGACGATGTTTTGGAAGACAAGCTGTCTTTTTAATAATAATTAAATAATTAAGGAAACCTACTTCATCATAATGTGCATCCAGAAGATGAAGTTAAATTACTACTTATTAAATTCACTAATTTCGTGGTCCGCTTGACCAATTAATATATCACAATTAATTAAGGTTTTTAGTTGAGATAAAAAAGTCAATGGCACGAGCGGGATTCGAACCCACGATCTTCGGCTGAGATGGGTGGGGTTGAGATGGGAAGTTGGTGTCCGAGTGGATCGAGGTCACGATAGCTCAAGTGGTAGAGCAGCGGCGTATCAAGTCGAAGATCGTGGGTTCGAATCCCGCTCGTGCCATTGACTTTTTTATCTCAACTAAAAACATTAATTAATTTAAATTACTATGTAAATTTTGTAAAATTATAAAGAACTATTATTAGCCTTCGATTTTTTTCATTGCCCACTCAACCTCTCGCGAAAAAGCTAACAAGTGCTAACTGCCACGGGGCAGCTGGGAGGTAGGCGAGTGGCACCCCACTAGTTAATATTACAAAATATCATCATATTTTTAAAAAAAAGTCAAAAACACCAACTCCAAATTAAATAAACTCAAAAACATCAGCGATTCTCGATTTTTGGCAGGCTCGCTAGAAAAGCTAACTTGCACACTACTCCAACACTACATAGAAAACAATATATTCTATGCGTTTTTGTTTTAATTTGCATTCTATTTTTAATCCAATTTTAATGAAACCTATTTTCTCAAAAATCTGTCCTTGCAACTTATTTATGGTTATAATAAACGCAGACGGACTGGGAATTAAAGCCGTTTAAAAAAAGGGCATATCGTATTATAATACGATGGTCGAGGGTTGCTCACAATCTCTCTTTTTATTGCCAGTTAATATTTCGCAGTGTAATATCGTCCTATCAATTTTTCTTATTATCAAACGGGTCCCGTTAAATAAACCGTCTCCATGCATAAATTTCTCAATAGCATAACGATATATCCTGCAGTTTGATCTTATCATACAGATCTGTGCCTTCAATGAAATACCCGGAAGCCTAACGCTTTTCATAAAATCTTGCAGTATGTAAATGCACTACGACAATGCCCTAAAAAAGACAGATGCCGTCAAAAACAAACTTCAATTTAAGAATGGCTGATTAAAACAGTTAAAAAAGGGCTTATTGGTATTTGATTTGGACTTGTTGTCAGACGAACGCATCATGATATAACTAAATATCTATTCTCGAAAAAACAGAGAGAGCGAGAGAGAGAGAGAGAGAGAGAGAGAGAGAGAGAGAGAGAGTGAGAGAGAAAGCTTTTGTTAAATAATTATTATATATTAATAAATATCAATTATTAAAAAACACGTTCATAACTTCGCGAATTGTAGTTGTTTAGCGATTTTTTTTATTGGTATTAAATTTCTGTTTAATATTACGTATGAAAAGCTAGTCCTGGTGCAAAATTGTTCACACTTTAAATCCGAACAAAAAGCATAAAGTACCTAATTTCCGTATTAAAATAGTACTGATAGCAAATGATTATAAATTTCAAATTAGACTTATTTTGTAGGGAAAAGACATTAAACTGAGTACATAATGAGAGAGGTTCCCGTAAAATGTTGCTTTTATCCTCTCCCTATCTTTTTCTCTCTCTACACCTTTAAAATCGTATAGGACCTTCTCTCTCTCATACTTCGGCCAAAACTTATTTAATATTAAAGACATAATATTTCAAAATAAATATTAATATATTCTATGAAACAGTTGAAACATCCTCAATCCTGCCATGTTTTAGTTAGTTTCAGTTTCACTAAATTCCTGGTCCGCTTGACCAATTAATATCTTACAGCGGACCACGAAATTAGTGAATTTAATACGTTTAAAATGAAGTATACCATCACTAAAGCTCTCCGTCGCCATTTCATTTGTCGCCGAGAATCAAAAAGATTACACGACATTTGAAAAATGGCAAAAAGGTGGGGTTGAGATGGGAAGTTAGTGTCCGAGTGGATCGAGGTAACGATAGCTCAAGTGGTAGAGCCGCGGCGAATCAAGCCGAAGGTCATGGGTTCGAATCCCGCTCGTGACACTGACTTTTTATCAACTTAAAAACCTTAATTAATTGAATGTTTATAGTTAAGATTATTTGGAGATCGTATGATGTGGTCTGGCCTTATTCTTGTAGGCTTGCGACGTTCGACACACAAGAATGACACATCTACAAAGAAAACAAACACTTCGAGCCCTGAAGATGATCTCAATAAAGATTGAAACGTTGGCACGATAAAGAAAATATTTCTTTAAAACCTACGTCACACCAGATCGCGTCTCTGTGTTTGTTGCCATGGTTTAGGTTTCACATTTCTAATTGGCAACGATGTGTAAAAACTAAAAAAACAAAATATTTTAATTGGATCGACTTTCGTGTCCCTCAAGGGTTTACGCTATCGGCATTATTGTTTATCCAATATGTAAATAGAGTATGTTACGAAATTACTAACTTCCACATTGTACATATGCTGATTAACTGAATATATATGTAAAATCTGAATTATTAAATAAAAATGAAAGCGTATTAAAACTAAATAGCGACATAAAACCTTTAAAAAAATGAACTGATGATCGTGCTTAATAAATTAATATTTAAAAAAAAGTAAAGCTATTTTATTAGACATCACACAGTTTGCAAATTTAAACAAAGATAATATTGTAGAAGTCTGAACTGATAATTGTATACTCAGTTTAAACAATGAAATAAAAATTCTTAATAATAGATAAATATTTAAGCTGTAATGCACATATTTACAAAGCACGCAGCGTGATATATTCCATCGTATTAATTTAAAAAACTATTTATTGTTAATAATACATCCCTGAAGGTAAAGCATAAAAAAACTAAAAATCTTTCAGTAATTTATAATCTTTCCAGGAAAAATAAGTTAAAATATTACTACAAATATGTAAATTCGCTATGTCTGTCATCTGCATGATTCTAGATTTTATGACAAATTCTATGATTTGTTCATTTTAAAAATTATGATTTGTTAAAATACAAAATTTTCACTGTTTTCTATGGCATAATAACAGTACAAAAACCATCAAATCTATTTTTTATTATATTTCATTTTAACGATTTAAATAAAAAAGTACCCACTCTTTTTTTTTCTTTTCTTTTATATGGGTTCGCAAAGCAGAGGTCATATCAACCCTCGGGGTGCCGCTGGATTCGAACCCGGGACCTTTACCTTACAGTGATGAGCGCCGTGTCAACGCCCGTTTTGGCCACCGGCGTCCCCTGTACTCACTCTTAAAAACTTCATTTAAAATGTAGTTGTGCCGTAAACACTGTTCTTATAATTCATTCTTGCCTAAATTTATAAAATTCTACAAAAATTTATCTAATGTTTTAAAATCATATAAACGTAACATATTTATAAAAACATCTAAAAGAATTTCTCTACTTAGATTATGTTAAATTGCATTCTGCACAACAACAATAATATTTAAAAATATATGTAGAATTGAAAATTACCTTTCTATCTATCTATCTCTCACTCTCTGTCTCTCTCACTTCCCTCTCTTGTGTATTATTTATCAATGTGATACCTCTTTCAACAAAAATAAACCGAATACATTTATTTAGTTACTTCTAACATTAATTCTATTCACAATATTACGGCGATTAGCCCATCTATCTTCTTAATATTATTTATGTGTCTATCTCTGTATCACTAATTTATACTACTTTCTTTTTTGTTATCTAGCATCTCTTCATCGGTATTTTCCTACTTTATACTAGTAATTACGTTAAAAAACAGATCAAATTCTTGACTGCTGTTAATTGTGTTGTGTGTTTTTGAATAATAATTCTTAACCATTAAGCTGGTTGATATCTATTGGTTTATTAAAATGAAATTAAAACTCTTTCTTTAAAAGAGACTATGTCTAAGTATGATTAGTACAATTGTTTAGCCGAGTGGAAAAATAAACTATTGTAACTATTCCTTTTGGTGCTTTAGATGGTCATGATGTTCCGGCTAATATTACTAATGGAAAAAAATATTTACATACTTGTTCATATTTGTTCTCCTCATCAACTTGATGACGTGGTGTGTAACACTGTGAAAAAGCGACCAGGCCCAACAACACTATCTGAAAAGGGACAAAAGCTAGGAATGATCATCAGAAGTGGTACATACATCACCGTCCCTTTACCGTCAGTGTGTTCATTATGTGATTGTCTGCGGAATGAGTGTGTGGAAAGTCGAGCATTCCTCAGACTTTATACTGAGTCGAAGTCACACTCGGCCTGGTCTTTAATTGCACGGGAAAGCTTTTTAATTGCTCTTTTACATTTCACCTGAACTCATTGTTACTGCCTAGCGTGTTATGTAAATGCAAGTGTTTTGGCGGTGAAATTGCGTGTTAACGTTCCTTTCTTTGAACTGTTTACTTCCGCGTCCTTGGGCGGCGTGCGTAAAGGCCGAAGAAGACGGAAGAAGTAAATTTTGTTTGCTTTATTAACATCCACAACCCCTCAAAGAAAGTTTTCTTCTCGGAAATTAGATTATACCGAAACTGCTCAAAGTAAAATGTGTCAACGACTTCAAAGTTGATTTGTTCTCTTTTATAATTTCGAGCCCGTTGGGAACATTAACCTGTTCTTCAAACCGGAAGGATCTAGTCCAAATTATAGTTAAGGGTTTTACTCAAATTGTTTTATTGTTTATATTTGTGTATATTAGCACCGAAAAAAATTACTCAACTATTTTTTTTNTACCTGTCTATCTATCTGTCTATCTATCTATCTGTCTATCTAGCTACCTACTTATCTATCTATCCATCTACCTATCTATCTCTATTTCTTCTCTCTTCCCTCCTATCTTCCTTTCTAATCTAACCTGAAGACTGAGTTAGCTGCACTATTTCCAATTTCCGTTCTTTACCTATCTTCACGCTTCTATCTCTCCTTCTCTCATTTACTTTCAAGCTATGTGGCTCAGTTTGTAAAAAGAACAAAGAATTATTGAGGTCATTGCCGAAAAATAGAGTTAACGCGCCGTGGTGAACCTCTTAGGCCAAGCAGTATTTTTCGATAAACTGGGCACTTTTACCATCTTTCTCTTTCTTTCTCCTTTGAATTTCTTCCGTTTATTCCACATAAAGGACCGGCCTCACCCTTTAAAACTATGTATATTTGAAATGTGGCGAATGTTAAATACGATAGTTTGTCGTTATAAGAGACAGAGAGTAAGATTAAACGCCCCTTTATTTCAGAATATTTTGCTAAATTAAATGTAATGAGATTTGGCCTTTTCTAATGAATTTTGTCTACGCTAATTCCTTTGTTAATTTATAAATATTCTAGGGCAAAAGTCTATTAATTAACTGGCGGCGATGAGACTTGTAGAAACTAAACAAAGACTGTCAGAGCGAACCATAATTATTAGAATAATAATTTAAATTTTCATGCTGTCGGTGATAAAAGTAATGTCTGAAATTTGGTATAGTCGATGCAGGCTTATTCAAAGACCCTGTGGCTTTCTGTTCCATAAGCACGGGAAAGAACACTTAGAATATATTTATGCCTTTTGTTCCCTAGAGCTTAACCTGAAAACGAATTTTAAGCAACAACATTTCATCTGGATAATGATATTTTGCAGGTAACAAGAAAAATTAGTCTTTTTGTTAATAAAGTCTTGAATTAGCTGTGTTATTTACCCTTCGCCCGTTTGAATTATTTTCCATTTGAAAAATAATAATGAATGTAATTATTGTTAATTTTTTGTTTCTATTGCAAGTTTTTCCAATAACCTATTTACACAGATGATTGCCTTTGTCTTAGACAAAACATGCCTTCCGTGTTAAAATATGTGTGAAAATTATTGATTTTTCGCAACTAACAGACCGAACGAACGGAAAAAATATTGCTCTGTTTCAAAAAGTAATACCGCAAAAATATATTGACTCCATGTGATAAATATGTGCTGCCTTATCAAGGTTTTTTTTCCACCCTCGTTATCTGCGGAGTAAGCCTGTTAAAAAGAAAAGAGGTAATCGGGTCTTTTTTTAGGGATCGCCTGCTCCTTAACAAGATCAATTGATATTCATGGCAATGAAGGGGTTGTACTTTCAAACGAATTTCTTTCGGCCTTCTAATTTATCGTCCGCTGTGTTCAAAGTTTGGCGTGGAAGTCTTGAGGACTTAGAAGATGAGATTAAGCACACTTCCTTCCGTTTAGGAAAACTTCTAATTTTACGAGTTGATGAATTAAGAGGGGTTAAATTAATTTGGCATTCGTTCAATCTAAAGCTAAATTATTATCAACACAAAACTAGACTGTATTCGGATTATTCAACTTAAATACCTAAAATATTACGAGTACGATAATTCTACTTGGCTTATACATCTACGAAACATTTTTATAAAATATAAATAGGCTAATTGAAGGTTTTATTCTTTCTCACCTCGGAGTTGTCCCACTTTGGATCACAGTCCTTGGCAATGTTGGTACCGACTATGAGTCGGTTTTCACAGAAATTTGAAATAGTCTGGGAAAAACTTAATTGTGTCAATCTGTAGCCATATTTAAGATTGTTTGCCCTGATGATCACCTTAAATAAGTCGAAAGTAACAAATTTCCTTTTTCATACCGTGTTCCAGAGTATTCCTGAGTTTAAAAATCGTCGAAACATCTAACACTTAATACAGAATCTTTTATTCAGCCTTTTCTTCTCAAGGGAAAAATCAATGGTATGAAAGGCGACTCCCGAGATAGAAAAAAACTACTGCAGTCATTTTTGTTCCATTTAAAGTTATGTTTAATTTAGACTCGGTCTATGCAAATGAAAAAGAGTTTGTACAGGCAAGAGTTGATATCCGGTGAATTGAATAGCCAAGTGGTTTTGATGTGAATTTGCAAAAATAAAAGAAGTCAGTAGCACGAATAGAAATTTTGATTAACAATAAACCCATGCAGCCATCATTTTTAACTAATAATTTTTCCCTTAAAGATGAAAGAATTTTATTTTAGCAGATAGAAGCATTTCAACAAGATGAAATACAAAAAAGATAATCATAACTATAGAGTCTCTAGATATTGAAAAGTATAATAAATAAAAGGGTTGAAAGTAATGTCAGTTTTTTTTAAATAAATGTATTAGTTTTTACCTTCTTTAGACGATATAACAATGCTGTGCCTGAAAAAGAGGAAAAAATTTCCCTACCTCTGTTTTTTAGTCTTAATGTTGATAAAACCTTTCACTACCCTCATGAATGAAATGGAATGTACATTGTTTGATTCAATCATCTCCGAGAAGTATCTATTTGACATATATCTATCTACGGGGCGTCGGTGGCCGCAACGGTTTAGGCGTTGACACGGCGCTCATCACTGTAAGGTAAAGGTCCCGGGTTCGAATCCACCAGGGTTGATATAACCTGTGCTGTTGCAAACCCTCGTAAAAAATAAGAAGAATCTATTTCCATACAGGGCTTAGTTTTGTAATTGTCTGTATTAAAACATAAAATAACCGTCGCTGATTACTCAGTAAAGTCTTAGGGATCCCACATTAAATTATGCGTTTTTCACAGACAGCAAGGTAACAATAGATACCCTGAACAATCCAAAAAATCACGACCAATTAATGGAATCAATGATACGAACGATTGTGCAGATTGTAAGACTTCGAAGTCGTGTGTCGTTCGATTGGGTAAAGGCACGCATAGGAACATCCGGAAATGAGATAGCTGATCAAGAAGCAAAAGATGCATCAATGGACGAGAAACTGGATATTTCATTCAGCAGACTCTACAAAGCATGTTTTAAGGCTTTGTTAAAAGAAAACGCAATCAAGTTGAAGGAAGCATAGCTATGAACTGCAAAAGGAGCTCAAACAAAGTTGTTCTTTCGATCGGTAGAACATAGAATGAAATTAATTCTACTTTCTACTTCTTCTTTTATCTCTATCGGTTCAGAGTATAAGACTGCCGTCCATGTCCATGCGATCCAATTTTGCGATGCAAGATCACAGCCACCTTATATTCGACTGCAGCTTACTGGAACAAGCACAACCCCCGTTCATACATAAGGTCCTCTGAAGGGGGACAAATTGACTGATTCCACTTAGAGCACTTCTTGAGGAATTTTCTCATTTTATTTCTCATATTTCTCAATTTTATTTAAAAAAATTGTACCTATCAATTCAGTATAAAATTATTCCATCTTGCATTAAATCAGTATATACTTAAAAATGTTTATAATAAAATCTAATTAATAATTTAATAAATTGCAACTAGCACATGCAATATATACAATATGGAGCATGGAGAAAATAATAAATAAATAAAAAAAGGTAAATCTTGCACCTAATTTAGTACTATTTGAAACATCCTTTATCAATAATTAAATATTCGTAGCATAACTTATATTATTATGATGTATTAGCTACATTAGCTTGTATAGAATAGAGTTCTCAACTAACACAATTTATCATTAATCTTTCCCCCATTGAACCTCTTGCTAATTTGAATGAAAATTTGTTCGCGAACACTCTGGATCAAGGTTTGGTCTTGAAGAAAAATCAAAATTCAGTTGTTTACTGCCAAGCATTCGACCTATTATAAGGTCATCATCACGGAAAAACAATTATCCAGTGTCAACCATCGTAAAACGTAGATAATTGAAAACGTGTGGTGTTTAGTGCCAGTTAGTTAATGACTATTCGGAAATTGTGAGATGCGGTCTGGTGTGACGTAGGTTTTTAGAAAAACATTATCTTTATCGTGCTAACTTTTCGATCTTTATTGAGATCTTCTTCAGGGCCTTGGATTTATAAAGATTGTTTGAATTTTACAAATACATGTAGGATGTGGAAAAAAATTATGAATTTATACAATGTTAGAAAAATTTTTCTATTAAAAAATATACAATGCTAGAAAATTTTAGAGTAATAAAAGAAAGAATGAATTTATACAATTCTAGAAAATTTTAGATTAAAAAAATGAATTTATANGTAACGGCCAAATCACTTTCCTGCAATTACCTCGAGATTCTTAATGGTCCCGATATTTTTAGTTAAAATCCAAAAGCAGATACCAAAAGAAATACAATGTTTAAAAGTTAGATTCATCGAAAAATCATAAAATTCTA